CAGAGGACAAGGTGGAAGGATTGGCACATTCAAGGCAACTTAGCCCAGATCGTGTCTCGATATAGTTCCTAGTGCTGCACAAAGTTAGTTAAAAAGGAAAGGCCTGAGGATGTGTCTTAGTGGTAGCACACTTGCTCAGTCCCCAGCACAGCAAAAACTAATAAAACAGAAGTATAAACATTAAAATTGCAGTGTTAGCTACACATTTTAGTACTGATGCTAGATAAACATGGCTTCCACTAGAAAATGAATTTTATAGGTACATCCTTTAATTGCTTGTTATTAAATTGGCTGGCTGTAACTATAGCACCAGCGAATCCTTACCTCCCTTACATTATACTGTTGGCGTTTTAACTTCAACTGCTATAATTGTAAAACAAAGAAAAAACTACCAAAAGAAAAAAATGTGGTAATTCAATCTAATGAAAGAAAAGCTTGTGCTGTTTTGCTTGCTATCATCTCAAAATGATTTAAACGATTTATACTTTCAAGCAGGAAAAGAGATTTCTTTGTTTTACAGCTACCCTGCCATAACATGAAAATAATGTTTTCTGTTGCTATTCTTGCAAAATGTTTACTTTTGTCTTCAGCTTCAGGAAAAAGAAAAAAATCTTAAAGTAGATTTTTAAATTCAACACTGGAAGTTTTTCTAGGCAAGTATCAACAGCAGTGTTTCACAGGCTGCTCAGCATTTAGCAGTCATGCCACGGAGGTTTAGCCTCTCCACACCTCACTTTCACCCTTAGGGTGAAATGAGGGGACTCCCATTAAGGGAGAACTGCTCTAGCACCCTGCATGTGGTTGGTAAAGGCCGGCTGTTATTAGTAACACCATCAGCATTACACAAAGATGGCCTGGAAGTAGTAACTTAAATCAACTAGTATTTATTCAGTACTTTTAATGAGTGCAGTAAGGCATTGGACTAGTTTCTACAGGAAGTACAAATATTTATATATTTGATACAAAAAGCCAAACAGTTTGCCTCAGAACTCAAATCTTAGCATGTTAGACAGGCATACCTATGACTGAGCCAAGGCAGACAGTGAAGTCTGGCAAGAGACAAAAGTATAGTGTAAAGTGAAGGTTGAGGCACAAACACCCAAAAAGGTTTACATAGGCTTCACATCAAATGAAAAAAGTGAAAGCAGTCTGACCACAGAGAAGCAGCAAGAGCAGAAACTCTCAAGACAAAGCTGAGCCTTGAGGCAGACGTGATTCTCTCCCTGTACTGATTAGGAAACAGTAGCCAGAGATAGTCTGAGGCTCCTGACATCGACTTCCTTATTCTCCCCACAACTGTGAAGCTGACATTTTCCATCAGCTATGCAGAAGGAACTTCTGAACTCACAGAAGAGACATGAGGTACTTTGTTCCTTCCAGATCTAATTCTTTGTGATTTGAACTATAATGCTGCTTAGTAACTACGGTAACCTATGTTGCAAATATGCAGTCACCTGTCACTTAAAAGACAACCTCCTCAAGTATCATCAATAAAATGCCTAAGTCTAAGAAATTTATAGCTTAGGAAATTTTTGGAAGTAACCACTTCAAACTCCACCACTCCATAAGGTAAGATAAGTTTTATTTCCTCCAAATGGCACGTGAGGATGAGTAATGAAAACAAAATCAGGATAAGCAATGAAATGCATGTCTAAGGCCTTCCACTAAACTTAAATAAATGCCTGCGCTGATTACTCTGCCGGTCTGATGTCAAAAGATGTCCCAGTGACTTGTAGTTAATTTAAGAGCAAAAGCATTTGGAAAAGAATACAGCGATCTCAGGGTTTCTCAGCTTTTTCTCTGCTCTGAGACCCTTGAAGATCTGATGTTTCACTTTCCTCAGGATGCTATTCTAGGCGCTATGACTCCATGACCCCTGGAAGGTACCACCAGACCTTCTAATTACCCTAACACTTATCAAGGAGGTGAAAAAAAAATGGCAATTATTTGTTTATAGTCTGCCCGGATAGAACCTAAGCTTCATAAGCCAACTGTCCTCTATGTTACATATACTGTGTTCAATGCCCAATTTGTAATTAATAGATAAAATTAAATCAACTCTGCTTTACTTTTTAATACACAAATCATCACAAATAAATTTTCTAGGTTGGCAACAAATATATTGATTCCATGTTAAAATTTTGTTTGGGGACGTGGGACCAGAGCAGGGAGAAAGCCCGAGATTTTTCAAGAGTAGTACTATGGGAAATTTTAAAAACTCTTTAAGGTCATAAAATACAACTAACTATAACGTGGACAGTACAGCTCTAATAATAATTTTACACCATTTAAAAATACATAAAACGGAAAAATTTAAACAGTATACATAAGTAATATTTAAAATCAATAAAGCAAATAAATGAATAAAAATGTCACTAGTGCAACAGTTATTAATTAGGAAAATGTTATGAGGTATGATTATAAAATATGATGAATGTTTAAATTAAAACAAATTTATTACAGGGGCTGGGAATTTAACTCAGAGGTTCCACCGCCTGCCTCGCAAGTGCAAGGACCTGACTTGATCCCTGATACCAAAACAAAACAAAAAAACCAAAAACAAATTCATTACAGTAAAAAACACCTTGCCATTAATCCTCCTCAAAATACTCCCCCTCACTTTGCACACACTTGTCCCAGCGTTCTCGCCACTCTGTGAAGCAGCTCTGGAAGTCCTCCTTTGTGAGTGAGTCCAGCTGCGCTGTCACAGCTGCCTTGATGTCCTGAATCGATTCAAAATGTTTGCCCTTCATGGCCATTCTGACTTTGGGGAAGAGCCAGAAGTCGCATGGAGCCAGGTCTGATGAGTAAGGCGGATGAGGACACACGGTAATGTTCTCATCAGACAGAAACTGCTGCACCAGAAGCGACGTGTGATACGGAGCACTGCTATGATGGAGGATGAAGCCATTTGCCCATTTTTCGGGCCGTTTTACACACACATCATTGATCAAACGCTCTAACAAGCCCCTGTAATATTCAGAGTTCACTGTAGTGTTCCTAGGGACAAACTCAGCTAGCACGATTCCATCAAGGTCAAAAAATACAATCAGCATCACCTTGATGTTGCATCTTGACTGGCGCGCTTTTTTTGCACGAGGAGAGCTAGGTGATTTCCACTGAGAGCCCTGTACCCTGGGCTCAGGATCATAACCGTACACCCAAGTTTCATCCCCCGTGATGATGTACCTTAAAAAGCTGGAATCGGAAGCAGAACGCTCGAGCAACTCCAGGGAGATCGACAAGCGCTGCTGCTTTTGTTCCTCAGTCAGAACAGGTGGAACAAATTTTGCAGTCACTTGCCTCATGTTCAAATCTGTTGTTAAAATGCTTTGGACGGAACCGTAAGAGATGTTCAGATCCTCAGAAATCTCCCTAATGGTCAACTGCCTGTTGGATCGAATTATTTCGCTTACTCTTTCAACATTCTCTTGGGTTTTTGATGTTGAAGGTCGTCCAGATCGCTCATCTTCGACCGACTCACAGCCACTACGGAACCTCTCAAACCACTTGTAAACAGTCTTCCTGGTCACCGCTGCGTCGCCATAAACTGATTTTAACATTTCATGTGTTTCTTTAGCACTTTTTTGCAGTTTGAAACAAAATTTCATGTTGATGCGCTGTTTGTGATCCATGGTTTACGGCACGCTTTAAAATCCACCTCTCAACTACAGCTCACAGCAGACTGCGCCGAAAGAACTGGAACTTGTCCCTTGCCAAGGTTCAGGGTGACGCTGGTCATACTGAAGAGTCCTCTTTCCACAGGACGGCACTCTGCAGCGACGTGCACTGTATTTTTTGATCGAACAAGTGCACAGCCTACAATAAAAGCAAATATGGATTTCAACCTGTTATAAAATATGCCTACATGGTATATTTAGAAAACAGTGTACTGTGTGGGATGGGCGGAGACAGATAAGATTTTTCAATCCCAAAGACTCGCTAAAGCAAAATTTAAAGTGTGAGAAGCTACTACACTCCAAACTCTTAGTTTTGAATCTTTTAAGGCACATCTTATCTTCTGAGAACCTTATCACATAGGTTCTTATCTGCCAGAGATAGTATATCTCTTTTACTCTTAAAATAGCTTTGAGAGCTACTGGTAAACAGCGAATAAGGCCAGGAAATTTGTACTCTATTTTGGATGCTTAGAACAGCAGTCTGAGGTTGGTTCAAATCTGTCTACAAAATATAAACCTAAGCTTTCATTCCTTCCCCTAGAGTAAGCAGTGGACAATTCAGTGGAGTTGAAACATTTAACAAGTTCTAGGAATTCGATAAACGTTCTGGGACAAAAACACAGCAATGCCTGCTGGCTCCATTTTACACTTTGCTGTTGAAACCATACAGTCATGGCTGTGATAATTGCTGAAGCCTCTTCATCCAGGACATGCGCCCTACACTGAATGCTGCGTTCAGGGTCACAGGATTGGATCCGAGAACCCACCAGGATCTCTTGATTAGAAATCAGACCACCTCTCCCACTTCACACCGAGGGAGAGTCGGCAGGGCCAGGACTGAACACGAGAGAGAGGAGACGGGTCACCATCGCACTACAGCCGACGGCACAGAAAGCCCCAAAATGGGCGACCGAGGATGAGCAGAGAGAAGCCGGGCCTCGGGCCGAGGGCTTCCGAGCCCTGGACGGTCGGGGTGTCGCGGCGGGAGCTGTGGCGAACCCGACGGCTAGGCCACGACCGCTGAGCCTCCGAGTCACAACGGCCTGTCCGCCCCACACGCCCGGTACGCCTGGGATGCTCCGGGCCAGCCCGGCTCGCCTCCGGGCCCAGGTGGGAGACCCTTACCCGCCCGCGGCCACTGAAGATAACAGACACACGTAGCACTGCGGAAGACAAAGACCCACCGGAACCGGAAACCGGCTCTTTCCCTAATCCCGCCCATTCTTCCGTCCAATTGGTTCTTTCTGCAGAGACGTCAGTGCGCACCCCAACCATTCCGTCCCATTGGTTCTTTCTGTGGAGATGTCAGTGCGCAGGTACAGCGCTACTGGCGTCAGGTCTTTTCCGAAAGAGGCTCGCTGAGGTACTTGCTAGAATCGTTATTAGAGAAGTGTTCGCTTTCTTTTTTCCCAGTATGGACCCCAGCATCCCTTTGGCCCTATCTCGCGCTGTTCACGTTCACAGCAAAAGCTCCTTACGGCCTTGTGAGGTTCCGCTGTGCAGTAGCAGCGTACCGGATCAATCCTTGTTGCTGATGCCTGCATCCTGGCGTGATGGATTGCTCCTAAAGTTTGTTTCCTGCGATCCAGCTTGGGCCGTGTGCCTCACTGCACCTGCTCTTTGTACGTATATAATGCTGTTGGTCATAATGAGACTAATAAGCAGCAGGATTGTGTGACCGACCTAATTCAGAATCGTCTCTAGTCCAGCCATGGTCGTCCACTGTCCATCGTGGAAGATGGCCCTAATGGAAGCCATCATCCGGATGTGGTTGGATGGATCATGGAGGCATGCCGTTGGATACTATATAGTCCATAATCTGTTCCTCTCAGGTACTGTTCTCCTGCTGTGCTCCCTGGCCACCATAAACAAAGCAGCTTTGCTTTGTCAGGCCCTTCTGCCATGATGTCTCTACCTTGAAGCTGGCCAATCATGGACTAAACCCATGAGCAAATTAAACGTCTCTTCCTTTAAGCTGTGCGTGTTAGGTGTTGTGTCTCAGCAATAAAAAGCTAATACATGAAATTGGTATCAGAAATGTTGTCATTGCTGTGACCATACTTGACCAAGTGGTTTAGAGGACTCTGGAACTGGTTTGAAAAGGTGTAGAGATGCAAACTAGATAAACATTAGAATGCTATAAACAGAACATCCTAATGGGGATTCTGGTAAAAACTCAGAAGACCAGAATGCTGATAGGAATGTAGTCAGTAAAGGCCACGCTGAGGAGGTTTCAGACTGTAACAAGGGATTCCATAGACAGTTAAATTAGAAGGCGTGTGTGTTATCCTCTGACCAAAAAAAAAAAAAAAAAAAAAAGTCTAGTCTGCTTATATCCTGAGACTTTTATGGGAGACCGAGATTAAAAGTGGTGGAAAAATTAATTTGGCAGGGGCGATTTCAAAATAGGCTAGCATTCAGGCTGGGATGGGTACTGCATGGCTACTTTTGGCAAGATTTGTAATGAGATTTGACAGTAAAGTACAGAGCAGAAAAGTGGGGAAAACTTAGTTTTGGGCCCAGAAGGAACTGCAAAGTTGTTGCCAAAGGAGTTCTGACTGATGAAGTGATTGACACTGTTAAAATGAAACCAAGTATTTTGTACAGGGACAAGAAAGATCCCTTAAGGGCATCTAAGGAATCATCAAGATCCTATTATAGGCTCAAGGGTATAAAAATATCAAATACAAAAGTATTTGAGAAGAGCATCCTTGGGATACCTGCTTGCAAAGGGCTTTCTAAGGAATTGTTTCCCCAGAAAGCATTTCACAATGCTCAGTCATCCAGCATGTAGAAGCCACTGCAGCCATGATCCAAGGGAGCCCAACCACCATTCTCACAGACAGTCGACTTTGTCATTGTCCATGTAATGCTGGTCTTATTAGCATGCAGAATAGAAGAGTTGTGGGGTCAGGGAGCCTTCCAGTCAGATTCCAGTGGAAGGCCAGGTAAGGAGCCTCTGATAGGGCAGTGTGTGAAGCTGTGGCAGTGAAGCCCAATGTGCAGTGGAGCTCCCAATAAGACAGACATCAGGAATGTGAAATGTCTGCAAAAGCAACATAGAGATCACAAATGAAGCTAGCCCAAGAGTGAGGCAGTACATGTGAGGCCACAGACTTGGGGCTGACCAAGCCCCTTGGAACCCATATTGCACTACCCTGTGCCCCAGGTGCCACATACAGAGCTTCAGAACTCAACATTTGCTCTGCTGCATTTTCAGTCCTGCTTTGTACATACATACCACAAGTTTTTGACCCATTCTCTTGATAGACACATAGGATGATTCTACATCTTGGCTACTGTGAGTAGAGATGCATAAACATGGGAGTGCAGACATTTCTTCAGTGTGTTGGTTTCAATTCCTCTGGGTGTCTAGAAGTGGGATTGCTAAATCATATAATAGTTCTATTTTCAGTTTTATGAGGAACTTCTACACTATTAGCCATACTCTAAGTTAAACAAACAATATCGAAAGAAAGAAGTCTGTTTTTTGAAATGTGTGTGAGACCTAAATAGAGAATGAAAAAATAAAGTTCGGGGATTTAGCTCAGTAATTCCACTGCCTGCCTTGAATAGATGAATTCCTCTAATAGATGAATAAACAAACACAAGACAATGACATGTTGTTTTATGCTAAAAAGAAATGAGCTATCAAGCCATAAAAAGACATGAATATTAAATTCATATTTCTAACTGAAAGTAGCCAGTCTGAAAAAGCTGTGTTATAGATTCTAATAATATGCCATTCTGGAAAAAGTAAAACTATAGAGACAGCCAAAAGATCAGTGTTTTCCAAGGCCCTGGAATTGGGGGTAAAGGGAGCCATAGATGGTGCTTGAGAGATCTTTGGTGTGGTTGAAATCATTCTGTATGATACTAGGGTGGTGGGTATAGGACTTTATACTTTTACAGCTGTATAGAGTGAACCCTAGTGTAAACTATGGCTTTAATTAATACTATTTCTGTTGGTTCATCAATTAAAACAAATCAGTCCAAGATGACGAGAAACTGCAGGGGACACAGGTAAAGGTGATTGTAGAACTTTGTACTTTTGGTTCAATTTTTCTATAATTTGAAAACTAAAAATAAAATCTATGAGTAAAAAAAATTTAACTTCAAGGCCACAAAAGATAGAAACTAGTCATTTCACTGTTTCCTTTTGCTCTATCTAAAACAATGCTAGGACAATACTGAGACTCCTGCATTTTCCCCCTCTACTGCTGGTTTAATCATGATTCTAAGAAGTTCAGTGGCTATCCCCAGACGGAGTTGACAGAGATGAGTTTACCCACAAACTTAGTTATAGTAAGTTGACTTATTTTAAGAAGGCAAGAAAAAAAAAAGGCAAGGAGTTCTGATCCCTTTATTACATTTTTTGGGGCATAGACAGTGAAACATGACAGCTTTCACTCCTACTTCCTTTAGATTGTTTGATATTATGAGCTGAACTTTGTCCTTCCAAAAGTCACTTCTTGAAGTCCTGACCCTAGCACCTCAGAATATGACTATAGTTTGGTCTTTAAAGAGGTGATTAATCACCAAGGGCCAACAACGTGGGCCCTAATCCACAGCACTGGTATAACTGGACATAGATGTGTACAGAGAGGAGGTTAAATGAAGGTTCAGGGAGAAGACGGCCTCTTGCCTACTAAGGAGAACCTTCAGAAGAAGCCAAGAGATCAGCCATGCTGAGGTCCTGCCTCTAGAATTAGGAAAAAATACATTTCTGTGGTTCAAGCCGTATGTTACTGCAAGCTAATAAGAATTTTATCAAATCTGGTAAAGTTCTTACGCAGACAGAAGATCAGAGTTCTTTAAGCGTCCTGTCTTTAATGACTGATTGGTAACACGTTCAAAATTTAAAACAATGTTCAGAACTTTAGTCAAGCTTCTGAGGTACCAGTACTGTGTGAATATCAGATTGGTGGGGGTTTAGAGTTATTTCACTTTAAAGAAATATATTTAAGCGACACTTTATTGAATCTTTATCAATTGATTTTCTAGTAAGAGTTTGATTTTATTGGCCTGTTTTAAAACAAGGGGCATGGTGGCACACTCCTGTCACCCCAGCTGTCTGGGAGGCTGAGGCAGGAGGTTCGGCTTGGACAAAATAGACTTTGGGAGACCCAGTCTCGAAATAAAAATATAAATAAAATAAATAGGGCCGGGGATGCCGCTCCTTGCAAAGGCCTTGGGGTCAATCCTTAGTACGAAATGGGGTGGGGGAGGAAAGGAAAAGAAAAAAATGAAAGAAAGCCAAACCAATAAATAGATGTCAAAGCATTTTTCAAAAGATGAATTCTCTGAACACGAATCCGCCCTGGATCTGGGGGTGGAGGACCCCAGAAAGTTTGCAGGGACCTCTTGCCGGAAACACCGGGTCGACTCTGGGGGGATCCGGAACCTTTGGGTGCACCGCCGCGTTTCCGGACGGGACACTCTGGGACGGACCCGAGTCCTCCCTAGATAGACGCCTTCCTGTGAGCCCGGTGCCACCATGAAGTTTCGCGCCAAGATTGTGGACGCGGCCTGTCTGAATCATTTCACGCGTGAGCTGGGGTCGATGGTGGGCGCGGTCGGAGGGGCAGGAGCGGGAAGCTGCGGCCGCGGCCCTGCGGGGTCGTCCCAGGGTGGTGGCGGGGCAGGTGGAGGCGCGGCGTCTCTGAGGCTTGACCCGAGTCACGTGGTCGTGTTTGGGCCGCGGCCCAAGAGATGCTGTCGTCTGGCGGGGTTCGCCCTCTGCCGGGCTGTGCCTAAGGGTCCCCCAACACTGCCGCAGCGCCCAGTTTGTGTTGACTGTGTGAATGCCCACCCTAGATGCCAGCTGGTCTCAGAGCCTCAGTTTCCCTCTTGGGCACTGGTGCGGCGTACCGCATGCCTCGCTCGTGTGACTCTTGGGAGAATGGCCTGCCACAGCTGTGCAAGCACTTCCTATGGCATCCCAACTGCAACTGTTGTTTTCAGCCTGGGCAGTTGCACCGGGATGAACGAGAAGTTTTACGGGAGAGGACTCTGGATGCTTCAAGGAGTAACTCCTTACCTTGTTCCCCACCCTAGGAGTCAGTAACATGATAGCCAAGCTGGCCAAAATCTGCACTCTCCGCATAAGCCCGGAGAAGCTGAACTTCATCCTCTGCGACAGGCTGGCAGGCGGTGGGGTGAGCACGTGGTGTGAGCTGGAGCAGGTGAGCCAGCACCTGATGGCCTCCGACTCTGCCTGCACGACCCGCAAGGCCTCACCTGCCCTTCTTTTCCTCCTCTAGGAGAACTTTTTCAGTGAATTTCAAATGGAAGGTATCTCTGCAGAAAACAATGTGATTTATTTAGAACTAACATCAGAAAACTTATCCCGAGCTTTGAAGACTGCTCAGAATGCCAGAACCTTGAAATTCAAGTTGACAAATAAACACTTTCCCTGCCTCACAGTCTCTGTAGAGCTGGTGAGTAGGGGGAACGGGGAGTCTGAAGTTCCTGCAAGCCTTGGCCTCCAGGGAGTATCAATAGTTCTACACCTAGGCTTTTATACAGGATTGTTGAAAGCTAATTCTTTTGGTTAAAGATCTGGTGTGTGACTTTTTTTTTAACCTGTTAGAGTCAGTTTCCCCTCCTCATTATCTTAATGTTGTGATCATATAGCATTTGAATGGGATGCTTCCTTTTCCAAAGAGTAGAATTTCCAACATCTGAATGTCTTTTAATGGTATTATTATCCAGTGCAGACATCATGGTCTTTATCCGTTTTCACTTCCGTGTGCCTTCCCCACAACCTCTTCTACTGGAATGTCTTTAAATCACCAGTCATTTTTCAGTGACACATCTGCCTTACATTGTACTGCCAGATGAGTTAATGCACACCTCTCCTCAGAATACACACACAGGATGAAGTTCATGTTTCATCATGTGATGTTCAAAGCCTTTTGTATATGGCCCAGTGTATCTGGGAGCCAAATCACAGATCACTGTACTCCAAGTTGTTTCCTGGATAGGTCCCATTCTTCCCCAGTTCCCAGAGAGTGGGGACTTGATTTCACCGTCCTTCTAGCCAAACCCTTTCTTTATAATGAACCTGCCCAGCCTCTGCTATCCTTGCATCTCCCCTCCCTTCTGTTCTGTACATGCTTTGCACATCTGTGGGCAAGCATTGTTTATGGTTTCAAGATCTCTATGGAGGAGGATTTCTCAACTTCATAACATAACGTTTGCTTGATTCTGCAGTGAATTGGTTCTTAGAGCTAAATCAGGATAGTGTCACAATATGAATCTGGAGTTTCTTCACTTTCTTAAGGAAAAGAAAAGTAGTAATTTATGATGCTTTTCTGTGTAAAAGGGCAAGAGACTTCGGTCTGTGGGTCTTGTAGAAGCCCTTGGAAATAGATAAGCATAGCTTATTCTTCTGCAGTGTAGGACCCGCCACACACCAGCATCCTCTGCACAAAGAGTGGCTCCTGGGTCACTGCCACAGCAAGTCAGCTTCTTCGACCTCATGGTCATCTGCAGTGTGTTCTACCCCGAGAAGCCTCCCTTGGACTCCCAGTTGGGGACCTTACCCACATGCAGCCTGGTCACTGCCAGGTTTTGTCAGGGCTCTAATGAAGATCTCATGTGTTTTGTTCAATCGCTTCCTCACCTGTCTCTTTGTGCCCTGGAACACTGGGGACCATGTATGATTCACTGCAGGTTGGCTGCTCACAGCCCAGCAGACACCCTGTCAGTGCTGGCTGAATGAGTTAAGATCATTCCAGTTAGGCATGATGTCTCAGCCTTTTCTCCTCAGTTCTTTAGTTTTGTTTGTGCTGTTAGTACTGACAACATAAAGTCTATGCTTCTTTTCTTGGCAGCTGTCCATGTCGAGCAGTAGTCGCATTGTGACACATGATATCCCCTTAAATGTTATCCCTCGAAAGCTGTGGAAGGACTTTCAGCAGCCCTCGGTCCCAGAAGCTGAGGTGAGTGACTCTTGCCAGCCTGCTGTTCATCACAGTCAAAGGGTAGATTTGGATCCTCTAAGGTTCCTTTCTGTCTTGCAGTGTATTTTATCTGGAAGTTTTGTAAGGCCTGCCTGCCAAGAAAGCGATACACATTTTAAAGGGTCGTCAAGGAGAAACCTTTTGTTATTTACATAAACTCTTTTAAAACTCTGTTGCACTTAGTAGAAGTGCCGTATTCTACATGTATAAACTGTTCATCTGAACATGTGCGAGAGCCAAAGCAGCCATTGTGTCACGTGGGGCCAGTTTAACACTCCTGCTGAGGGGAGTCCCCAAGCCACTGGGAAGGAGGATGCTGTCAGGGGTCCTTTGGCTCTTGCTCGGTTTATTTTAGAAGAAACTGTAAACATATACTGGATAAGGGCTGGGGATTTAGCTCAGTGGTACTGCACCTGCCTCACAAGCTCAGGGTGCTGAGTTCAATCCCCGGTACCCCCCAAAAAAGAAAATACCAATGGGAGAATGAAGAAAAATACAGTGAATATTTGTAAAAAAAATGTATTACAGTAAATTGCCATGAATTACCCTCGAACCACCCCCACTGCTTCAAAAACATTCATCCCACTTCTCTTGCCACTTTCTGCAGCAGCTCTGAAGTCCTCTTTCCTGAGTGTCTTTATGAAGTATGATCATGAATATAGTGAATGCCGCTGCCGAGTGCATCCAACATAAAGGCAGAATCATAAAAACACGACAGGGCGTCCTCATCCACCTTATTCACCAGATCTGGCACCGTGTGACTTCTGGCTCTTCCCCAAAGTAAAAGCAATCACAAAAGGAAATATTTTTAAATTGATTCAGGACATTGAGGCAGCCAAAAACAGGAAAGAGGACTTCCATGCCAGGTGTGGTGGCACACCTATAATTCCAGCACGTAAGAGGCTGAGGCAGGAAGATCGCCACAAGTTCAAGGCCAGCCTGGGTTACATAGCAAGACCCTGTCTCAGAAAACAAACAAGTAATAAACACATACCACAAAGAAAGAGAACTTCCAGACCTGCTTTAGAAAGTGGCAAGAACAATGACACGAGTATGTTGTAAGCCCGGGAGAGTATTTTGAGGGGGATTCATGGCAATATATCTTAACTATAATAATTTTAAAAATTTAAATACATAACTTTTTGCTACCAGGGATTGAACTCTGGACCTTGCGCTTTCAAGACTGGCAGTGGCACCACGGAGCTACATCCCTGGCCTAATACACAGTTTTTCTGTCTCACCTTGTCTGCAGGCTGGGGAAGGTGATAGCAGAGACTTAGGCAAGGCAGTGGCTCTCACTGTGTTTTGCACGGAGCCTGGGAGAGTCCCCTGGGTAAGAGGTCCCTGAGCAGAGGCCCTGCTGGCTGCTGGCTGTGCTTCCGTGGGCCCTCACAGGCATCTTGGCTGAGGAGCCGTTAGGGGCCCTTGGACCAGACAGAAGCCCGCAGGGATGTGGTCACCAGGGTAACCAGGCAGGCATTTCATTCTGCTCGAGTGCCTGTGAGTTCCTGAGAGGCTAAACTGTCTTCCTTCTCATAGTTTTAAAGGAATTTCATTCAGAAAATTTAAAGCTAGGACTTCAGAGTTCTTGAGCACATATGCAGCCCAGAGTCAGGTAGCACTGGAGCACAGCAGGTTTCTCACACTTCTGCTTTCTCCCATTGGCCTCGTAGGTCAGTATTTATTTACCAGTCCTGAAGACTCTGAAGAGTGTTGTGGAGAAAATGAAGAACATCAGCAATCACCTTGTAAGTCGAGGGCTGCCGGCCTGTGAGTGCTGTGTGTCGTTGGTGGAGCTGCTGTGGGAGAGCTGCCCTGGCTGCACCCTGGCTGGGGTCTGGAGCCTGGCACCCCTCTGTCCCCAGGAGACCTGCTGCGTCTTCCATGGAACGGACTTGCTGGTTCTGACAGTCTCCTGCATTTTGAACAAACAGTCCGTCTCTCTGTTCTTCCTTGGTGCTGGGGTTGGACTCAGGCCATGGTGAGGTGTGCTGAGCACCTGCCGGGCCACAGCTCTGCTGTGCTGAGGCGAATGCTTCCCGAACTGCTGCTTCAACAGCAGAGAATGTGGCGGCCCAGGAAAAACACCACAGCACAGCCGTCTGTTCTAGACAGCTCTCGGCCTAACTCATGACGCTTTTAGTTTTCAGTTTAATTTGCATTCTCCTCCTGCCACATGTCACACAGTGCTACCGCACATGACAGTGCCAGGAACCGATGTGAATTGTCCTCGTTCACACTGGAGCGCACTCTGAATCCCTCCCCACTCTCGCCCCCAAAATGTGTGGCTTCTGCCCCTGTGTCTGAAAGGCCTCTGTGCCCTGGTGAGCACTAGCCTCTGACTTCCCAACTCGCTGGGCCTCGCCTCTGCCACTAGGCCCTCCCTGCAGGCAGGGCCGTGTGCTCGCCATCCAAACGGAGCCTGTCCCTGGCCATTTTCCGCCTCTTCCTTCTCCTGTCATCTCTGAGAAGCACCAGGCTGCTGTCCTGTCTGTCCCGTCCTTCCCTGCTGCCCGCAGGAAGCGTAGCTCCCCAGCTGCCCACTCCAGCCCTGCCTGAGATCTGCAGGATCGTGGGCTCCTGACTGCTGGCCAGAAAAGGGTGACCCGTGGGGTTGTCACTTGGTAGGCAGAGTTAGTGTTGCCACATGGATCTGGGGTGAAGTTTAGCTTCAAGGGGTTTTAAATCACAGAAGTTTTCTGAAGCCCAGTTCTTGGCCCCTCTTCCTGGAGCTCTGCTTACCTTGGAACAGGGCCGACGTGAGCCTGAGGTCTGTCCCCTCCCAAGGCAGGGTGCCCCATGCTGCCAGTGCCATCATGTCACCAGGCCGCTCCCTCAGGGCATGCATGGGGACTGTGGGGAGGTTCGGAGAGGCCCTGGGGATGTGGCCACCAATTAGCTGAAGGATCCACTTGTTTGTGCTTTGTTTTTCCTGGAAACAAGTGAGCAGAGTGGAGCGCTAGAGCATGCCTTAGAGTCCTCAGAGGTATTTTCTCTGGAGTATTTTTAAATGTCTGGAAATGTTGTGGAATTGCTACCTGGAAGATAGGCCGTGAACAGTGGCGGCTCCTTGAGTGCCGGAATCCTGTACCTGAAGGCAGCAGACTGAAGAATTCAGGAAAGTGAGTGGGACTGGTGCCCTGACTGTCCTCTCCCTCGCTACTCACTGCTTCCCTCCCTTTGGGTGACACAAGTGACGACAGGCTGGGCTGTGTGAGGCCCAGGCAGAGCATAGAGCCAATACCCAGGAATCCAGTTTTCCCTGCTGGGCATGGAGAAGGTACAAGGGGGTTCAGGAGGTCTGGGCAGGGCCTGAGGCCCTGCATTTCTGACCAGCTCCTTGAGAGCCCCAGGTGTGTCTGGGATCAGGTCCAGTGGCGGGGCCTTGGGATTTGCGCCGCTATAGGACAGGACTAGTTTGGTGACTAGAGGCGCCGAGGGGTGGTGGAGCCCACACTGGGCTCCGCGAGCTGGGTGCTGGGTGTGTCACCTTACCCGGGTGCTAGTGCTGCCACGGGGGTAGTTTTGTCCTTGTGAATTCAAAGACAGTTTATGACAGGTGCCCAGTGAGCTGGCATTCAGCAAACAGTAGACAAAGTGTATTAAGGACCTCACTGAAAAGGTAGGGCTTTGCGCCCTGACCCTGACACAGTGGCCGATCGCTGTGCACAGCAGCTGATGCCCTCAGGAAGTGCTGATTGCACTCAGCCAGGCACTGAGGGACTGGGAGCAGCTCGGAACCAGAGTTTCCCAACGCAGATTTTAGGAGGCAGAAGAGAGTGTGGGCTCTAAGTGAGTCCAGAGCCGTTGCAGGTTGCTTTCAACAAATACTTACTTTGAAGCCACTGAATTAATTATTTGTAAACCCACTGTTTTTCATAAAAAACGGGAATTTTCAGATCTTGGGCCCATGAATGCCTGGAACCAAGGGTCCTGTGTCAGGGGTCAGCTTTCCGGGCTCCAGGGAGGGGCTGGGACCTTCCCAAGGTGTTTTGTATATTTTATCTCAGCTAAGTATTGTAGGTTAGGAAATGGAACAGTTATGTTTCTTGACTAATGAAAGGAAGAAAAACCATTTGAAATGAATGTTTTTTATTCATAGAGAAGGTTACTGGTTTAAGTGGTCAGTGAGTGTGGGGGCTGTTTTTCTGTTTAATGTCAAAAGCTCAGAAATAAGAACTTATGGAGTTCAGAAACAGAAAGCTCTCCATTTCAACTCTGAGTGAGGAAGACGCAGAGCTCAGAGAGTGAGGAGCAGGGGTGGGACAGTGAGCGACAGGCCAGATGCTTCTCCTGCCCATTCAGGGCTCCATGTGTCACCGGCGTCGGATGTGGCCTCGTGAACCTGCCCAGCATTATCAGTGGCAGCACCCTCCGGAAATGGCCCAGCTGCACCGTCAGGCTGCAGAGGCCAGTGCGCTGGGTGGGGTGGGGGCTGGAAAAGGAGGCCCCTGAGCTGTGGGGACCTCCCGGGCCTGTAGGGGCAGTGGAGAACAGGAGCTAAAGGCAGGCCCAGGGGGAGAACAGCCAGAGCTCAGCAACGCACCGCAGCACAACTTTTAGAGAAAGGTTTCCCTCGTCACTTCTGGATCGTAGTTATGGCAGGGGGTTCGGTCCTCTTACAGAAAGGAGGCAGTGGGCCATTCCTTTTGTTTTCTTTTTCTTTTTTCAGACTGTTTTTGCAATACTCATTCTGCAGGTTATTGAAGCAAACCTAAATGGAGAACTGAACTTGAAAATAGAAACTGACTTAGTGTGTGTTACAACTCATTTTAAGGATCTCGGAAATCCTTCATTAGGTGAGTTTTCTCGCAGGTTGTATTTTGCTTTTGGTAAATTTGTTTGATGTCGTGTATAAATCGAGATATCTTAATGTAACAAAGGCCAAGGGTGGTTTCCCGTCCCTGTGTCAGGAAGGGGTCGGGCCTGGACAGCTAGCCCTCAGCACAGTGGCACAGGCAGCCCTGGGGTGTGGGGCTGGGGCCCAGGGCAGCCTCTTCCTCCTCTCTAGAACTCAGTCACCCTAAGTCCTCCAGGACGCGCCAGCCCCTCTCTAGGCTCCTCTGAGAGATGCCGTTTCTTGCCTTGAGCAGCGAGAATGGCAGGTATGTTTCTTCTCACTTGTGCCTCCTGTCAGGCTGATGCTTGTGAAGCCAGATTAGCAGGGACAGGAAGTGATGCATGCACTCTAACGTCTCTATGCGGCGATAAAGCCAGTGGAGTTGGTCGCTCACAGTGGAGGAGGAGGCGAGGACCGGGCACCTCAGGAAGCCGGAAGCGCATCGGGTGCAGGATGCAGGTGGAGTGCCGAGTGGAAGACGCTGCGGATGATGTGGAAGTGCTTGTATCCCTGTGACCCAGACAGACACAGCCCAGGCTGCTCTTGGGACTCAGATTCGCTGCCTCAGGCTTGGCTGTGCACAGGGTCTCAAGGGACCTCTGTCCCATAGTGACCCAGGGCTGCTGCACCTTAGGGCAAAACCCTTTGGGTGCAGCTCTGCGGCCTGAGTGAGGGGCTCACTTCAGCCATCTGTTTGTCTCTTCCTAAGAGCTGTGGAACTCACGTCACCATCTCAGAGCTGGAAGGCTGTTTTCCTCCGAGCACCCTGCTTTAGGCTGAGCAGCCTCGCGGGGACTGTCTGCATCACAGCTTTTCAAAGCCCGGCTCACAAATGCTCCTTTCCTCATGCTCGGGGGGCGCAGTCCTGTTTCAGCTCCTGAGAGTGAGGACCCCGTGGAGGGCGCTGCAGCGTTTTAAGCAGTACTGGAGGGTTCTGCAGGATCAGGACCCGGTGTGTGCTTAGCAGTGATGACAGCCACGCCGTGGTGCCTGTCCAGATTCCTCAGACCAATGGCGCAGTAGAGGGTGTATTTACTGAACACACACCATGCATTTCCGGTGTCCCTGTTGTACCCAAGGTGTCACACGGAACCACCCATTTCTCTCTAGCCTCTGATGATGCCTCACGGGACAGAGACCCAGCAGAGATGGCCGAGGTGCATGTGGACATCAGGAAGCTCCTGCAGTTCCTCGTAGGGCAGCAGGTGAACCCCACGAGGGCCTTGTGCAGTGAGTATCACCTCCATTTGATGTTCACGTCCTGGGTGGTGGGCGTGGGATGTGACATGAGCTTGGCATGGTTTCTACAGTCACCCTGGAGTCCTGAGGACCCAAAGTGGCTGTGAGGGTGAGGGTGCTGCCCACTGGCCTCCAGGGCGACTCAGCCGTGGCTGCCCCTGTCTCTGAGCCCGCAGGGACTCTGTCTGTCCTCACCTGGCTCCCACAGTCCCCTCCGCCCGCACCGTGTGATGGCTGCTCTCAGTGTCCACGGCCAGGCCACTGCCCCACAGGTATCCACTGGCTGGCCTGTCTCCCGCCAGTCCCAGGCCTTGGCTACACTCAGCCCCGCTGCCCTTTCCCTCATGCCCCAGCCCCCGTGGAGCTGCTTGGCCTCCTTCCGGCACCTTGACTGCAGTCACAGCCACCCTGGGAAACCAAGGCCCAGCTTGAAGGGCTGCTGCTGAGGAGCAGTGGGTGGGCTGAGCAGGGACCCTGGCTGTCTGTGTCTCCTGGGTCCCTGGGTATTCACGGAGGAGACTGGAGAAGTCAGGGGGCTCTGAGCAGAAGAGGCCAGGAGCGGGTGGCAGGCCACAGGGTAGGTGTCAAGGGCAGGGCTCTTGCCGCACACCCATCAGTCAGCCCCTCGGACAGCGCCACCCTGAGGGCCGGGTCCCGTCTTCCAGTCTCCTCAGGTGTGGGCGCTGCACTGCACTTCCTTCTGCCCCTCAGCAGGGACCAAGGACACAGACACTTGTGGGCACAGGTGGGCGCAGAATGGGGTCCCGGTGGCTCTGAAGCTGCAGTCTCTCTCCCCAGACATTGTGAGTGGCCGGGTGGTGCATCTGGATCTGCTCTACGAAGACGTCTCCCTGCAGTACTTCATCCCCGCGCTGGCCTAGCGCTGCCCCCGGGGCTGCCGCCTCTGCACCTGCAGGAACGAAGTGACCTTGGATGAACAGATGCCCTCCTAGTCCACATTTCTGGGCTGATTTTTTTTCATTTTGCTTTGTTTTTTGGTTTTGAGATATTGAGAAGGAAAGCTAGGATGTGTCCAGACTCTAGCTTTTGTTTGGTTCTCTTTAGCAGCGAACAAAGCCTCCTGGAAGTCACACGCTGCTCCCACCTGCCTCTGCCCATCCCCTCTGCCTGTCCCTACTGCACAGCCGCAGATACTCAGGCCGTGAGGGACCGGCCCATAGCCACTTGCCGGAAGTGCTAGTCTGTGGCTCCGCCCCTCTGCCAGGTGGATTTGCCTGGAGATCACAGTGCTGCTCAGCTGGGCTCAGGTGGATCCCAGGGCCTCGCACACACCAGGTGGGCCGCCTCGGGCAAGCTTAGGTGCTCACTTCCCACCCAGGCCCCAGAACCCATGCTCCGGGAGGAGCATGTTTGGATGTGGAGCAGCTGCCAATGAAGCTGTGTCCTGGGTCCTTCACTGTGGCAGGCCGGAAAAGGGCCCCAGTGTTGATCCTGAGGCAGAACTGTGGCTCTTGTGCGGCCGCAGACTCCAGCTGTAGAGCATTCTCATCGCCGGCAAAGAGGACTGAGGACCCCTGACCACTCAGCCAGCCCAGCCCTGTCCATTGCCTGCTTCCTCCGTGTCTTTCTGTCTCTGTCTCCTCTGTCCTGGACTCTTGAGTTCTTCCCAATGCGCTGAAATTGTCCTGGGGTCTCACTTCCCCTGCAGCCCCAGTCCTAGTCTCAGCTGTGCTGTGCCTGGCTCAGTTTACTTAAGTCTCTCTAACACCATTCCTTCATGTTCCCGATCATTTTGACAGGTGGCTTTCCACAGGTGACAGCTCAGGTTTACAGTAAGAATGGTCTGATACTGTTACACTGAAGAAACACAAAGTATCCCACAGATGGGGATGGGGAGTTCTTGGGTGACCTGTGGCTTGATGCGGTGTTTCGTTCTCTTAAAGATGTGGAGAGGAGGCAGTGTCTTAGGCTGTAGTCACTGGTTAAAGTGGGCTGGTAGTTGGTTTGTCCACTGTGATCAAAACACCCTGGTTTACGCCAGCATCTCAGCCTCATTATTGCTGGATGGATCCTATTTCATCAGTGTACACTGACGTATTTTCTCACAATTTTATAACCAACTTTGGGGGAAAAAATTTACAGGACTAAGTAAATATTTATTGAGTATTTGTTGTTTGAATATTTATCCTTTGTCATGCTGAGGTTGTGCGGGGCTTGGGAACTGCACTGGGTAGCGTGTGTATGACTGAGGAGGATCCAGTCAGCTTCCTGGTGCTGTGAAATTCCTGTTCGCTTGGCTTATGCTGTGGTTTGGCTAGGGGTGGCAGAGGGTGGAAAGGGTCGGTCCCAGAGCTCCTGCACCCCAAACCGGGGCACCTCTGCCAGACGCTGCCTCGGACAGGAAGGGGCCATGGGGCAGACTGAGCCTCTTGCGCATACACCTCTGGGGCTGTGAGCGTGGTCAGGTTCCAAGGATGTGGGAGAGGCCAGCCGATGCTCTCTGACCCCGCAGGCCTGTGCTCCCAGCCTAGTTATATGCAGATTTAGAATTTAAAAAGCATCTATGCATTAAAGTCATAGCACCCACCCCGTGCAGGCTGCCATTTAAAATGATCCACCTGTGGCCGAGGATTTAGCTCAGCAGCGCTGCACCTGCCTTGAAAGCACAAGGTCCTGAGTTTGATCCTGGTACCAAAAGTTAATAAATAAAATCCTGTACGGAGGGAAAATCCTACTCAGGTCCTCTGGGTGGTGGGGAGGAGAAGCACACAACCACAAAGAGGCGAGAACTGGAGCCCAAGGGACTTGGAGGGGTCATTCGCACAGGGACAGGGGCCAGGGCTCGCCCAGTCTGCCTCTGCACGCTCAACGCTGCCTGCCCTGCGCTAAGGAAGGTCACAGTTTCCTCAGGATGATTGGCCACGGGTCTGCAGTCTGTCCTCAGGTGGAGAAAACACTGCAGGTTAGAGGAGGCCCCAGGCAAGAGGTGGGACTGGCAGGGGACAGTGATGACAGATAAGCACTTAAGTTAATAAACAGCGCACTTCAACCCAGAAGCAGTCCCAGCAGGGTGTGTGGTGCTTTCCTTAGCAATTGCACTGCAAGAAGATAAACACGGAGGTGGTCGTATTAGTTCCCTTTGCTTAAGACAAAGACAACCTCTTTCTTCGGTGCACACCTGCCCCGGAGCCACCCCACCCTACCCCGAGTGCCCATTTTCAGTGCCAGATGTAGCAAATCGGGCTTTTTCTAACTGGAAAATGGCCTTAGAAGTGCCCCGACACCTCTGCACGGTGAACTACACTCAACTGTTGTCCACAGTGACCCTGTTTACTCAGTGGGGCTCTGCTGAGCCTCACAGAGGGACCACACATTTGACTCACAGATCCACACCTTTCAGGAGTGATTGTCTCCCAGGAAACAGCCCAGAAGCATGCTGGGAGGGGCAAGGACCCCGGAGCTCCTGGGTGGGGTGGTTGTTGGAGGGGTCATGATTGGTCGATAGTCTAAGAGAGGGGCAGGGGGTGCTCCCTGCTGGCAGTTTGGGATCCAGAGGCCCTGTGGACCTCTGCCTGCTTCTCCTCTTTGCCCGAAGCCAGCGGTGATTCGGTACCAAGCAGGTGGCCCATGGGAGTGACTGGTCCAGGCCTGGCCTGGAGGGTGCTATTGGGAGCCGCAGCCCTGCTGCCCTTGGTGGGGCCAGTGCCGGGGAGCAGCTTGCAAGGTGGTAAGTCAGCCCCACAGCCCTTCCCCCGGGCCCCAGCATCACCACCCAGTGCCAAGGTGCTGGGTGCTTGGTGGCCGGAGAGTGTGGGCTGGGGTGGCACAGACGAGGCTTGGGGGACAGCAGAAGTGAGTTGGCTGTGTGGTCCTGCAGGCCATGAGCAAGCTGGGCCCAGCGCATCCCCAGCGTGCACCATTAGGAGGGAGAAACAGAGGCAACTAGCAAACTGAGTAATCACGCCCATAATGGGGCTCAGGATAAACATCCCTCTGGGTCATGTGCCCCGGGTGTTGCCTGTGCTCCCCTGGGCTGCACCCCAGAACCTGGGGTCCTTAATTGCCAACCACACATCGGGCGAAGAAATGAAACGACTCCTCGTCCCTTTTTCTGTCATTCTCAAGGGCAGAGGGACAGAGGGTCCTGTGGAGTCTTTCATGTTGCCTAACTGGGAGCTTAGACAGTGGCTTCTTAAAAGGCATCATGGTAGAGACCACTTGGCTAATTTCACCTAGAATATTCATACTTACAGGTTTTATTTTGTTTGCTTTTTTTACTGTAGTGTAGACTGAACTCAGGGCCTTTGCAATGAGCTACATCCCCAACCCTTTTTATTACTTTAAGACAGTCTTGCTAAGTTGCCCATGCTGGGTTTGAGCCTGTGATCTGCCTGCCTCAGCCTCACAGAATGCTGGGATTATAGGTGTGCACTATCATGCCCAGATGTACTTGGTGTTTTTAGAACTGAGCCTAATTTCCAGCTCGCTTGGTTGTCTCCAGGTCTGACCCGAGATGGCACGACCCTCTGCGCTATGGAGGGAAACAGCGTGATTTGGTCTCTGCACTGGACCAAGGCTAGGGCAGGCCCCGCGGCCAGGGCTGAGGGTGTGGGAGGGCTGCACGGTGCCCACAGCACTGCCAGAGAGTGGCTCAGCGCACCGAGGAGGCCCCTGGGTGTCCTGTGACGGTGGAAACCTTCTCTGTCGCTGTGGCTGCCTTGCACTCCTGTCACGGCTCCTTCCTGATCTCACTTCTTTTGCGCCCAAGGGCCCAGGTGCCTGTGGCAGCCACTGATGTCACTGTGTGCTCCCCTCTGGTCCTGCAGTCCTTGGCTGAGCTGTGTTGAGGCCAGTGCGGCCTCACAGCCCCGGGGAGGAGCAGGGCTCGAGGCTGGGCGGGGAGGGGCCTCTATGGAGCGCAGCTGTCTTTGCTTACCCAGCTGTGGATGGAGGCTGCAGATTAGCAGGAAGGTTTGGGCAAACCCTGGGCTTCCAACAACCATCAGCCTGCTGTGCTCCTTGGGTGGCCCAGGAACACTACTAAACCTGGGTCACAGTGCCCCCAATCCCTCTGATTTACACCCATCAATCAGCAGGGAGGAACCAGGGCAGCTGGTGTGCAGAGCACAGGAAGGACAGGGCACCTCTGGTCACTGGCTGTCCCAGACTCCAAACCCGGGCTCCGGCTCCAGTTCCTCACTGCAACTCGGGTCCTGCGGGCTGCTCCTCCTCCCCAGGCCCCGTCCCATCTGGGCAGCCAAGTGTGAATTCATAAACAATTCTAGAATGCAGAAATTCATCTTCGAGGCAAAACACTAAATAAAAGCAAGTTGTGCACAACCTCTACCGTGTGAGTTAAAATGTTGATGCACAGAGTGGAAGGAACTAACAAGGGCTGACCAGGCGTGGGTGTGCACGCTGAAGCAGGAAGATCCCAAGTTGGAACCCAGTCTGGGGCAGCTCAGTGACTTAGTGAAACCCAGTCTCTAAAGGTATAAAGGCTTCAGGGCATAGTTTAGTTCAAAAGCCCTGGGTTCGATCCCAGGACCCCAGGACCGGGTCCCAGCCTGGGAGCGACCAAGGAGGAAGGGGCTGTTCCCAGCAGTGCAGAGCAGGGCGTGTGCCATCCTGTGATCGCTCTTGCTGAGGTGACCTTCTCCTGCCCCCCTGGACTTCTGATCTGTGTCAGGATCTCGGCTTCTGTTTCATTTGCGGCCTTGAGGAGTGCCCTGTGTCAGGCAGCAGCACAAAGACCCCTCCCAAAAGTGGGCCCCAGATGGAGAGAGATACTGCAAAGTGTAGGGCACACAAAGCTGTTTCTGGTTGGGAAAATGTCACTTGTTGGAGTGTGTTTTTTCTCGGTGTGATCGAAAAACACATGAGATTAAATGAAAGTATATTACAATAAATGACGTGTCGCCATGAGTCCCCTCCAAAGTCCTCCCCTCACTTGGAACACACTTATCCCATTGTCTTTCCCACTTTTTTTTTTTTTTTTTTTTTTTTGAGACAGGGTCTTACTATGTAGTCCAGTCTGGACTTGAACTCACTATGTAGCCTGGACTGGCCTCAAACTTTTGGAGCTCCTCCTGCCTCAGCCTCCTGAGTCCTGGGATT